TGCAGTACACACTTTAGAGGTGATCTGCTTGAATGTGGAACCAGCCTGTGCCCTCCCTCTTTGTAAGAGCAAAAGTGATTGTCCCTGGTTGCCTCTCTTCAAAGTGTGGTGCCTATTCTGAGTTGTGAATCTGGCTGTGCAGCTCTTGTCACAGCTTTTGGGCCCTTTCTCACCTTCTGCAAACCTGGGAAGCTGTTGTGTTGGGCTTTACTGAGGCAGTCTAAGCAGGTCAGCTAAACTGTCACTCTTCCAGAAATGAGACCTGGGAGAAGAATTTTCAGTTTCTGTCACCTATAGCTAGGTAAGACAACAAGCACCATAGCTCCACGAAATCACTCCTCTCCTGGCTGCCCTGCAGCTCTTTACTGGGAACAGCCAGGCCACCTCCACCCTTGTAATGCCTAGGGGGGAGGCAGTAGAGGGGGCAGCAAGCCTGGGACTGTCCCTGTGCCCCTTCAGGCCTCTGGCTTGGTACTCACAGACAGTGTAGTTGTGCCTCAGCATGCCTCTGCAGGTACACATTAGCTCTAAAAGAGACAACAGGCTGAGACACCCACCCTACCATGGGCCTTGCTGTGATGTTGTGGGAAAACAGAGCTGCTCCCCTCTGTGCTTGCAGGGCTGGAGGAAACATGGTAATGGGATGGCAAAATTTCCACTGCCAGCTCTCCCTAAACATTAACTGCTCACCTGATTATTACTGAGCCATAGAGAGCGAAGGCCATTCAGGCTGAGCAATGGGGCCTACAATGAAAGGGGGATTTCCTGCAGAAGAGTGGATCTTGGAGGAGTGGAGTGCCAGCACATGGGCAGCTCTCAGGAGGAGCCTGGGGCAAGCAAAGTGGCTGCACTTTCCCAGGAATGAAGGTTGCTTGTGCGTGGAAGGGTGGCCGGCATACAGCCAGCTTTGGGTTCCTGCCCACGCCTCAGAGGTTGGTGTCAGCATGCACTGGTGTTTGTGCAGCTGCCCAGCTCTGCTGCCGTGACATTCTCTGTGCCCTGGCCATTGCCCTGTTGTCACTGGAGGCAGGGTGTCTCAGGCATGAGACAAGACCTGGGTCCTGCCTGCCCCTTCCCTGGTATCCACCCTGGTCAGCTTCTTCCAGCTAGAGAGGGCACAGGGGTGCCTTTTTCTGTCCCAGTGGCTGTATCCCCTGAGCTCTGCTGAAGCAGGAGCTGCTTGCTCCTGGGAAGAATGTGGGGGAGGGAGGATAACCTGCTGTGAACAGCACTTCTGCCCCGCACCCGCGCTGGGGTTGGAAGCCGGCAGTATTGGGAAACCTCTCATCTTACTGCTGGCTGCGCTTGTCTGGTGAGCAAGGAGACTGAGGAGGGAGGGCAGAGAGGCCCCATGGTGTGACTGCAGGGCCGGGTAGAGCCGGGAGCTTTACGTGCTGGGCCATGGCTGCTGGTACCTGCTGTGCCCCTTGCCAAGGAGCTGCTTCCAGCCTTGCCCTCCGCTTCCTATGCCTCTAATGTTTCACAGAGGATGAGAGGCCTTCTGGCTTGCCATCTTTACCCTCGTGAACACTCCAAAAATGCCCCTGCCGTGCCTGTGCTCCCCAGCAGCCTACCTGTTCCTGCCTTGGCTGGAGAGGGCCTGGCTGGGTCTCAAAGCACTCACTCTTGGTGCTGGGAGCAAACACGGTATGGTGGCCAGGACAAGCGTGTGGAGAGGCTGTGGAGGTCAGCTGGAGCACGAGGCGGTTTCCTCTGCTGAAGCGGTGCTGTTGGCAGTGGGCTGCAGGAGGTCTGGACTCCCAAAGCATGGGTAAGCCCTGCGTGGCCACTGTCTGAGCTGGAGCACATGATGGATACCGTGGGGCAGGGCAGGACGGCTCCGGGAGCTGAGCGTGTGCCCCGGGGCGGCTGGGGGAGCAAAGGGAAGGGCCCCTGCCCTGGGGAGCCGCCGGCTCAGGAGCAGCAGGGCAGCCCGGGCGTTTCCTCTCCCTGCCGGGGCAGGGCTGGGCTGAAGGGTGCTGCTGAGGAGACGCTGCCTGTTCTACCGGGGCTCTGCAAGGGCAAGCAGGAGCTGCCCGAGCGGGAGGGAGGTAAGCGTGCCTCCCAGGGCAGCCATCTGGGTGCTGCTGTGGCTGCGCGGGCAGGCCGGGGCGCGCCGCGCCGCGCCTCACCCGGGGCTCTGGGGTGGGGGCGATTTACATTGCATCGGGGTGCTGTGCAGGCGCTCCGCATCCCAGGCCTCTGCCTGCTGCCGCTCCTGGCCTTCTCCCACCGCACCCGGCCCCCTCCAGACGCCCGCGGTACTGAACACCCCCGGCAAGGGCTCCTCCTGCTCCAGCCCCGGGCCTGCGCTGGTGCCTTCGCCCAGCCCCGGGGCCTGCGCGGTGGGGAGGGGGGAGCTGCAGGTAGAGCCTCTCTCTGCATAGTTAGCATTCCCAGCCCTGGCCTCCTGCTCCTGCTTCCACCATCCCGCTCACTCCTGGTACGCTGGGCAGGTCTGGTTGAGCACTGCACCCTTTCAGTGAGCCCTGCTCTTCTGGGCCAGAGCAAGGATCAGACAGTAGGGGAACAGTTCTTTCCCTTTCAGATCCACACTGGGGCTTGCACTCTGCTAAGTTGATGGGCAAGTGCTCTGATGGTGGCCAATATCTCTTCTTTCTTTCTGAGCAGCAGCAAGGTCTGCATCCCACCCTCTCCATATTTGCATTGTGGGTAGGCCATGGAGCCGCTCTTTCCCAGTCATGGGGAGAACAGGTGGGCTCTGCCGCCATCCCAAGGCCCCCAAAGATCTCTCAGTGAGGACCAAGTCTTCCGCACCTGCCCCAGTAAAGGAGGGTGCGGGTGCTAGGAAGGGGGTAGATAATCCTGATGCTTCCTTTTTTCACTGTGAAGGAGGGATATTGAAGTGGGAAGGGAGTGGGAAGGGAGTTGGAAGGAGGATGGATTCCTCCCAATTTACTTTGGGCAACTCTGCGCCCCTGGCGCTGGGGGCTCTTGAGTAGAAAGCAAATTTAATCTCTTGTTTTGTTTGTTCTTTCTTCCTCTGAAAGGGGGGCCGGCGGGGTGTGCAGGGGGAGCTTGGGTTTGAGAGTGGGGAGGAGGGCGAAAGTGTCAGATCTGGAAGGGAGGAGTAAAGGGAGGACAGGGAACGGCAGCCCCGGGAGGGAGCAGTAGCAGTGGGCTGCCAGCCGGCTTGGGAGGCGCCGGGGAAGGAGGAGGCGAGGGGAGAGGCAGGTAAGGAAACCAGCGCCTGGGGGGAAGGCAAGCAGCCAGGTGAGGAGTAGGACAAGGGGTGGCAGGAGGGGTGGGGGTGTTATGAGGTGGGGGATGGATGGATCCTTGGGCGCCTCTGGGAGAGGTTGTGAAAACTGACTTGCTGCTGGTCCCATCTGGTCCCGCAGAACTGCCATTCTAGTAGTGTGTTCACATGCAGGCTGGGGACAGAGTACCATTCCTGCAGTGAGGGGCCATGGGGGCAAGTGGGAGCAGGACGGGTGCTGCTGTGTGCCATCACCTTCTCTCTCCTTTGCTTCCGCTAAAGTTGCTTCCCTGCCCCTCTGCTTCCCCTGGGTGCTGGCTGACCTCTTTGGCCTTTCCTCACCATGCCCCCCTGCCATTCCCCTCCAGCCTGTCCTAAACAGCCCTCCAACTTTGTGTGAACCTCGGCATGTGGGATGGGAGACAGACTGGTAGCAGCATGTGGAGATCTCACCATGTCCAGCATGGCCCGTGGCTGTGGCAGGGAGAAGGAGTGCCTGGGCCTGGTGTGCTCCATGTGTCAGCTCCCCATTCCCTGCCATGCCTGTGCTTGGCCTGCTCTGTAGAGCACAAAGGCAGGTCAAGCCCAGGCCTGGCTTGCAGGGAGCTGTAATGTCAATAGGCATCTTCTCTGCCAGGAAAAAGGTGCAGCTTTCAGGGGCCATGCCTACTGCCACGGGGGCTCAGCTGTATCTCCAGTGGGCTGACGTGGCCATGCTCCCGCGGGCTGGCCATGCCCCAGCCCTTCTAGGGCCTGGGTATCCCTCACTGAGGGTGGATGGGGCCATCCATCTGCAATTCCTCCAGCGGGCTGGAACTTGCACCCGGCCCCAGGGGCCGCGGGGAGGGTCGGGGGCCGCGGTATGTGTTCTCCTAGGCTCCAGCCCCCGCGGCCCCATGGACATCTGCACATCAATGGGCTCCAGCGGGGTGTGTGCAGGGGGAGCAGACCCTAATCCGGCCCATTCAGCCCGACGGCGGCTTTTGTTGTCCAGATGCTGCGCCGGGGGCTCGGAGCCGCGGGCAGGGGTGCAGAGCGAGGGCAGGCTGCGGCGGGGGGCAGGCGTCTCTTCCCCGTGGGGTTTTTGCCTGCCCGGGCACCTGGCTCCGCGGGGTCCCGGGCGGGAGAGGGGCTCTGCCCGTCGGGGGAGCGCCCCGAGGAATGAAAGCGGGGCTACACGCGTGGCAGAGCGCGGCGGGGTGAGGAGGCTGCCCCGGCCGCCCGGTGCCCCAGGGCGGCCGGGGAGCGACTTTCACCGAAGTGTTTGGGGTTTTCCCATCGAAGTGGGCGGGCGGCGGCGCTTGGGTGCGGGAGTTTCCCGAGCCCCCCGGCCCTGCGTGGGCCGCGCTCTTGCCGAGGAGGCAGGGTAGGGACCGCGCCCCTCCCACGGCCGGCCAGCTCCGGAGGGCCTCTTAGCATTATTACCTCTCCCCTCCTCTGTGAGCCCTAGGCCTCTGGGATGGCAGGGAACAAGGCAATAAGCTGGGGTAAAATCTCTTGGAAACCTCCTTCCTATCCCCATTCCCCTCCATGTTTGAGGTCCCTCCCACAGGCTCTGCAGTCCAGTCCGGATGGCAGGACAAGTCGAGGGGGGTAAATGTTCCATCATAGGCAGGAGTGTGCTGTCTGGAGAAGTAGTGGGTGTCTGTTTCACTGCTTTAGTTGCCTAGGTACTGTCCTGGAGAGAGCAGGTGAAGGAGGATGTCCTGCTATCGAGATGTTGGCAAACCTGGGTGGGGGCTACTGGTGAGACCTCTCTCTTTTCCCCTGTCCCTCACAGGCTCTAGAATGCCAGGGCCAGCTGGACTCGGGTTGCCCACCTGATCCTCATTGCCTGTGTCCTGCCAGCACATCATGTTGCGCTCCTGGCGCATGAAGCTGAAGTTGCTGCTCGCCACAGTGACCCTGGCTATTCTCCTCTCCTGGCTGTACCTCTTTGTGGGAAGCCTCGAATGTGAGTGAGTCCTTCTTGTCCTCCTCAGATCAAGGGACAGGCCACAACAGAGGGTGGGCAGCAGGGGATTAGGCCTTGGGGTGATTGCTCTGGCCATGCAAGTCACTGCAGGTGTATCTGACTTTAGGACATCTCCAGGGATATCTCTGGAGATCAGGAGAACAGAGCTGAGATGTTGGCTGGGCACTTGTGAGGTGTGCTGGGACCTCTCAGTTGTGGCTCTGCCCCAGCATTCACACCTGGGCTCTCCTGGCCTTGCCATGCCCTTTGCATGTCCCTATCTCTTCCACAGATGGCCGCTTCCTCCTGCTGTCCCCCTGTGTGGGTGAGCAGCCGAGCCGGGATGTGGAGCGGGAGGCGCTGGCCTCACGTGTGCGCAGGGTGGAGGAGGAGAATCAGCAGCTCCGGCTGCAGCTTGGCCAGGCTCAGGCTGAGGTCAGCGACGGCAGCCCGCAGTGGGGGGCTTCTGCCGAGGACAGAGACCCCCCTGGGGGCGAGAGGAGCAACCACACAGCCTGTCCCAAGCAGCGGACAGTGCACAAGTGCGAGGTGGGTGATGGCACCAGTACAGTGGTATTGTGGATAGGGAATGTCGGGTGGGAGGCTGGGACCCTGTGGATGGATATGTGAGCAATTCACCTGGCACTGTTGCTGTGTTCTGGCCATGCTGGGGCCTCATCCTGGCTCTCCACGGTGCTCAGTGGATGAGGGTATTTTCCTTCTCCAGAGAAGGAGACCAGACAGGAGGAGTGGCAGAAAGACTCCTGCTCCCTGCTTCTGAGTTAGGGAACTCCCACCTCTCTTTGGGGCTCCTTCTGCATGGGAAAGGTTGGGTTTTGAAGCTTCTCCATGTAGTGTGGTCCCAGGCAGGAGCTGACAGCCCCTGTAGGGAGGCCTGTTTGAGTCCAGTCTCAAAAGGGCACCCTTTGTCTTTGGGCAGCTCCTTCACGTTGCGATTGTGTGTGCTGGGCACAACGCGAGCCGGGACGTGGTCACCCTGGTGAAATCCATCCTCTTCCACAGGTAATGGGGAGACGTTGTGCCAGAGGCCTGCTGCTTGGGGTTCTCAGATGAGCTGCTGCAGGCTGCAGCGGGGCAGTGCTGCAGAAGAGGGGCTCTAGGACCTCTCTCTACCCCCTGTGCTTAGAGTGGCAGAGTGGAATTTGTTTCCCCTAGAGGGTTTTTTTTCCCGTTTGCCCCTTCAGCTGATATCTGTCCCATGGGTGGGCTGGGGAACTATGTCCTCTTCATTCTGCTGTGATGCTGAATGTTGCTGTGCTTGCCCTCGGCAGGAAAAACCCCCTCCACTTTCACTTCATCACGGATTCGGTGGCCCACCAGATCCTCCAGATGCTCTTCCAGTCCTGGATGGTGCCTTCCGTCCACGTCAGCTTCTACAATGCTGATGACTTGAAGGCAGGTGCTTGCCCTCCTTTTACCCTGTCCCAAGCCAGTGCTTAGAGGGTCAAGGGGAGCAGAGAGAGGGATGAGTGGATGGAGGGTGATTAACGTTTCTTGCTGACCCCTGGCTCACCCCCTCCTCTTTCTGGGCTTGTTGCTGGTGCTGCTGAGAGGGGAGCACAAGGCTGGTACTGGCAGGGTGGGGAGGTGCCTTGCAGTAGCAGTTCCTCTGTGGCAGAGCTGAGTGAGACACTGGGGTCCAGGTGGGGGTTCTGGTGGCTGGAGGAAATGCTCCAGACTTGGCTGCTGGCTCCACAGCTCTGCATGCCCTTCTGCTGTTGGCCTCCTCTGCATGGGGTTCTGGGACACGCAGCTGTCCTGCCCAGGCAGGGGAAGGGCATGGCCATGGCTGGCCCTGAGGTGTGTTGCCTTGCAGCCAGAGGTGTCATGGATCCCCAACAAGCACTACTCTGGCATCTACGGGCTGATGAAGCTGACACTTACCAAGGCACTACCCTCCAACCTCTCCAAGGTCATTGTCTTGGACACAGACATCACCTTTGCCACCGACATTGCTGAGCTCTGGGCTGTCTTTGGAAAGTTTTCTGGTGAGGACAGAGGGCTCCTGGGGACCTGGCAGGGCCTTGGATTCTGGGCTCAGTGTGGCAGTGCCTGCCTGCCACAGAACCAGCACAGTGGGTTTGCTTGGGCCCTCTGAACCAACAGCAAGATAAGCTGCATCCATGTCCCTCTGTTTTCTCAGAAAAGCAGGTGATTGGGCTGGTGGAGAACCAAAGTGACTGGTACTTAGGCAACCTGTGGAAAAACCACAGACCATGGCCAGCTCTGGGACGTGGCTTCAACACGGGTGAGTGTGAACTGCCAGGGTGGCAGGTGCAGCCTCATGGCACATGCACCTGAGGTGGTACTTGGCACAGGGAGACTGGGAGAGACGGAGGTAAAGTGGGAAAGTGGTGGGTACAAGAGGAGTGCTACAGCATCCCAGGGTTGTGGGTAGGCACAGAGAAGTGGCATGTCCCAGGGGCTGAAGGCATGCAGCTCTGTCGAGGCTGGGCGCTCTCTCAGTGCCCCCGTGCCCTCTCCCTTGGCCCTCAGGGGTGATCCTGCTCCTGCTGGACCGCCTGCGTCGCCTGGGCTGGGAACAGATGTGGCGGCTGACAGCAGAGCGGGAGCTCATGAGCATGCTCTCCACCTCGCTGGCTGATCAGGTAACTGTCCCTCCTCTGGGGCAGGTTGGTCCCTGTGCATTCCCAGAGCACTGCCGGCACAGGGGATCTTCCTCGTCCATCCATGCTCTCACCTTTCTCTCTCCTAGGATATCTTCAATGCGGTGATCAAGCAGGACCCATCCCTGGTGTACCGGCTTCCCTGCTTCTGGAATGTGCAGCTCTCTGATCACACCCGCTCGGAGCAGTGCTACACTGAGCTCTCAGATCTCAAGGTGAGTGGGGTTGCTGCTTTTGAGACTGGGGAGGGCCTGAAGGGCAGTGCAGGCACTGGAAGTCCAGGAGAGCTGCATGGGGTCTGAGGGCTTGGGGAGCCTGGTGCTGCTTACTTCCCTTACATGGGGTGACACACTACTGCTTAGGTGATCCACTGGAACTCGCCCAAGAAGCTGCGGGTGAAGAACAAGCACGTGGAGTTCTTCCGTAACCTCTACCTGACCTTCTTGGAGTACGATGGGAACCTGCTGCGCAGAGAGCTTTTTGGCTGTGCCAGTCTTCCCAGCCCACCCAGGGACCAGGTGAGGCTGACTGTGACTCTGTCCCCAGCTGCAGAGCTCTGGGTGGGCAGAGACCTCATGCAACCTCTCCTGGGGTTCCTACTCTCCCTCACCTTTCTGGTGTTGCAGTTGCAGCAGGCGCTGGAGGAGTTGGATGAGGACGATCCCTGCTATGACTTCCGCCAGCAGCACCTCATGCAGCACCGCATCCACCTGTTCTTCCTGCAGTACGAGTTCCTGGCCCTTCCCAACCCCACTGATGTCACCCTCGTGGCCCAGCTCTCCATGGACAGGTACTTGCTAGTAGGACCAGTGGGAGGTTGGAACCCACCTCCACGCCTCTGGGTAGGCTCTACAGCTTTGGAGCTATCAGGGAATCTCATTTCATCGTTCTCATGCCAGCATTTGGCAGTGAGAAATAACACCCCAAGCTGGGAACATCAGTTCTTCCTGCTCCGTCCTGAACCGGGCGTGACCGGCATGTGGCTCTCTGGAGTCGCCCAGTTCTGGGTTTGGTTCAGAGGCTGCCGCAGGGCAGGTCTGCTGCTCAGGCTGTGCCCTCTGCTCCAGGTTACAGATGCTGGAGGCCATCTGCAAGCACTGGGCAGGCCCCATCAGCCTGGCGCTGTACATGTCGGACGCCGAGGCGCAGCAGTTCCTGCGCTATGCCCAGGCCTCAGAGGTGCTGAGCGCCCGCCGCAATGTCGCCTACCACATTGTCTACAAGGAGGGGCAGTTCTACCCCATCAACCTCCTGCGCAACGTGGCCTTGGCCAACACGCAGACGCCGTACGTCTTCCTGACGGACATCGACTTCCTGCCTATGTATGGCCTCTACGATTACCTCAGGTAAGGCTTTTGCCAGCTGGCTCTTGCTCAGCCTGCTGGGTTCCCCAAGCACCAGAGTTTTCAGGGTAGCAGCTCTCAATAGGCAGAAGCTGTCTCCTTTGTGTTCAGCCTTGGGGTCCTGCCCTTACTTTTGTCAGACACCAGCAGATGAGGAAGGAGCTGTGGCTGTGAGGGTTCCCCTGTTCCTTCTATCCCTGCATGGTACCACTGCACATTCTAAAACCCATTAATAGCGGTGTGGAGTAGTGGGCAGGCTGGAGGGGCTGAGGGAGGAGGCTGTGGCTATGTCTTACAGTCAGGGAGACCTCACACCCTTCCTACTACCACAGGAACTCCATCCAACAGCTGGAGCTGCCCCAGAGGAAGGCGGCTCTCATTGTGCCAGCATTTGAGACCCTGCACTACCGTCTGACCTTTCCCAAATCCAAAGCAGAGCTGCTCTCCATGCTGGACATGGGCTCCCTTTACACCTTCAGGTAGGGACTAGCACTGTCCCACCATCCAAGCAGAAGCCATCTGTGTACCCTTGTGGCTTGGGGCTGTGCACCCCTGTCTCAGAGGGGGGTAGCAGACCCCCTGCATCCTCTGCTGTCTCAGTCTCTCATTTCCATCTCTCCCCGTAGGTACCACGTGTGGCCAAAAGGCCACGCCCCAACGGACTACGCCAAATGGCGGACGGCCACCGTGCCCTACCGCGTGGCGTGGCAGCCAGACTTTGAGCCTTACGTTGTAGTGAGGCGAGACTGCCCCAGGTATGACCAGAGGTTCGTCGGCTTCGGCTGGAACAAAGTCTCCCACATCATGGAGCTGGATGCGCAGGTGGGTGAGGGGCTCCTGGCGCCGCTGGGTGCTGGGGCCCTGTGGCTGGGCAGGGACATGTCGGTACCACCAAGCCGATGATGGTAAGGGCTGCTGCTCTGTCCCCAGGAGTATGAGCTGCTGGTCCTGCCCAATGCCTTCATGATCCACATGCCCCACGCCCCCAGCTTCGACATCTCCAAGTTCCGCCTGAGTGCAGGGTACCGGGGCTGCCTGCAGACACTGCGGGAGGAGTTCCACCAGGACCTGTCACGGCGATACGGGGCTGCTGCACTCAAATACCTCACTGCCGAGAGAAGCCTGTGACGCCTGGGGACAGTGGGTGCGGGGTATACGCAGCACACTGGAGAAAGGAGGGCACAGGGCCTCCCTCCTGCCTCTGCCTACGCCGCAGCCCAGCCCGAGGGAACGGAGTCGGCAGCACAGCCTCTCCAGCCCACCAAAGGGATGCCTATAGATAAGATGGAAAACATCAGCTGCAAGAACAGGCAGTGCCTGCAGGTCAAGCTGCTCCAGCCTTCCTGTGTTACAGGGGAACCTCCCCATGCCAGGGGCCAGGGCTGGGGTCTCCTCCCTTCCTTCTTTTAGCCGATGTGGATTCCCAGTCTTCATTAGTTCACATCACCTTGAGGCCTGGCTCCTCCAGAGATTTGGGAGCTGTACCTTACTCTGTTCTGCCTCTGCTCATTGACCCCAGGTCTCAGTCCACACAGCCCTCTGGGGCTTTGGTGAGTTGGAGATGAGGTCGTACAGCAACCCTTTACATCCTTTGTGGAGCAGGCTCAGAGGAAGCCTTCCAGCACCCTGGGAGGAGCAGCCAGGCAGTACTGCAAGTAGTTGGAGCCTTGGTTCAAACCCAGATCAAGGCTGGCTGTTTAATGGGGGGAAACGTTATTATTCCCCATCTGTATGGATGCAGTCTCCAGTGGAGCTGGCCCCGTACAGGTGGTGTGGGAGTCACCCAGAGCAGGATGAGCTCCCAGACCGGGATGGGCTGTCTGCTGTCGCCAGCAGTGAGCTCCCAGGATGGACCTGCACCTCCCAGCTGGGAGCAGCCATGCTGGTGACAATCCCTCTCCTGTGCTGGTATTGCCCCACAGGGCAGGGCTGCCAGCCATCCCCATGGGCAAAACAGCAGCTTCATGGGTCCCCACAGGCTGGGAGAAGTCCTGGTGAGGACTGCCTGCTCCTCCCCAGCTCTTGGCAGCACAGTTGTTGCCATCAGCAATCAGGGACATGACTGACGCTGGTCAAGACCATGGCTGGGCACTGTGGCAGGAGCCCCATGCTGGGAGCAGCTTGACTGGACACTGTTCTACTGCTATCACACACTGGAGCACAGAGGATGCATTGCTTTCCTCACACTATTTAAATTATTTAATACTTTTCTCCTAAGAATTCAGTAATTAGGGTTTCTGGGTTTTATTTTTAATCATTTCTTCTTCCCAGATGATTTTGCTGGTGGCCCTGGAGGCTTTCCAGGCCAGTTGCTGCTGCAGTCTCCACTGTTCTCTTCTTAGCTTTGCTCTGGGCTGCAAGGGCCCGCTCTGTACAGGGTGAGGATTTCCGTCCATGGTGGGAGCAGCTAAGAGGAACCATAGAAAGTGCGGGGTATGGAAAGGGCACAAACGCCTCTTGCTTATTCTCTCTTTTTAATTTAATTTTTAAATTAAAGCTTTTTTATTCTTTTTTCACATTCTTTTTAAAACTGCCTGGTTATTAATTTTTCTCTGCTGTGAACCTGCACATGTCCCCTAGAGGGAAGGCAGCAGGAGGAGAGCAATGAAGGAGTAGCCCAAGGCACACAGGTGCCCTGCCAGCTCTGAAAGGGCTGGTGGTGCTGACTGAGGTGGGCTTAAGGCTGCAGGATGGTTCCTGTGCTGCAGTGGGACCCCGGCAGCCTGCCTGCACAGCCAGCACCCCTGAACTGGAGCCTGGGGCATCATGGCTTAGGCACAGAGTCAGTTTAATCACACCCAAGTAGAAGAAGATGTGGTTTCATGTGGCGGTGCTGCAGCTTGTCCTTGAGAGCCTTGACTTTATAAGACTCTTGGGAGTAAAAGCCAGCTCTGAGGCCCCACGGGACACCAGCCTTGCATCTGCAGGGTGGAGGACGGGGATGGTTTGCCAAGAGCAAGTGTTGAGGCTTTATTTGGGAAAGGGCTGTGAAGACATTGCTCATCACTGTGAAGCCAAGGGCAGCTCCACCTCACCAGTCCCTAGCAGGCAGCTTTTGTTTAGTACAGCAGAAGCTTACTGATCCTGTGCCGCTGCTGCACTAAGCAAGATCAGAGGGTTAGATCAGATCTAGACACTGCTAGAGACTTGGTGGAGCAGGGCTGAGATGGAGCAGGCCTCTTCCAGATGATTCCTCAATAGATAGGAGGCAGTGCAAATGCTGGCTCTGTGGTTGTTTGGAAGGTGTGCTGGCATGCCTGTAGCAGGAGAGCTGTACACCATCATTTTCAGATAGTCCTTCCCAGCCTAGACAGTCACTAGCCCAAAATGTTCCTGCAAGGGTGGAGGTACTTGGAAGTAAGCCCAGCTTGGGCTGGTCTCCATGTGCCCTCTGCCGGGCAGCATCAGCTGGGAGGCACCCACAGAGTCAGAGCCAGAGAGATTGAACTGAGCACAGCCCCTTTTGGAGCTAAAATTCATTTCTCCTAACGTAGTGCCCTTCTCCCTGCCAAGAAAATGAGCCAGGGTGTTACACAGCCCTTGCACAGACACCCCTCCTGGCAGGCTGGGGACTTGCTATGGGCACTGCTACAACCCCTGTGCCTGTGGGACCCACTGTCCCCTCCTGGTACATACAGCTAAGGAGACAAGATATTTTACTGTGTTTTATTTAGTAAAATGTTAAAATAAATAAATACAAATTGATCAGATGCTCTGTACCCCCTCCCCCCAACTTTAATTTGCTAAAATCTAAACACATTTGTACCAAAACTGAAACCACAAGGAACTTGAAGGCAGCAGATACTGCAGATCACTATGAGCATCAGGCTAAAAAAAATAGAGATATTTTAAAAACCCAAACCAGTTCACAAGTGGGTGTTCTCATGGTGTGATTCTGTGACAACAGAGCAGTACCAGTCAGAAAGGGCATTTTACACCAGGGCCTGCAAGGAAGGGAGATGGGTGGGGAATGGGACAGCACAGGTGCCACTGGCTCATGGAGCACAGAGCCCGTGGCTTTGCCATTAGAAACCCAACTGGGAGAGAAGCTGCCGTCATCCTGTGCAGCACCAGGCCCGTGGCTACAGTGACAGCACTGCCAGAACTGGGGGCTGGTCACCAAAACCCCTGGAGAAATCAGACAGACTGGGGGAGAGACCAGGCTCAGACACAGAGCCCTTCAGGGTGACCTCCTGCTCCAGGACCATGCCAGGACTCCCACTTTACAGCTCAGTCTCAGTTTCAGCTTGGTGAAACACCAGGAGGGCACGGGGGAATGGGACGAAGCATGGCACACAGGTGGGGTGGTGGCATCAATAAATCTACAGAGATGGTGCTGCTGTGATCGCAGGAATGTGAAGCCATGATTGAAGCCTGAGTATTTTCTCCTAAACAAGCAGAGATGCCTTCACAGCCCTCCTGCCCTCAGCTGCAGACATGGGGAGTGTTTGCAGAGTAGAGCCAGTCAGCTCCCTAAAGAAAACTGGGCATAGGCAGCCACCCCAGTGCTGCACCAGACCTTGCAGGTGGCAGCACCTCACCACCACCTGTGTCCACTGCTGTTGACACAGCAAAGTTGTTTCCTTCCTCCACAGGAGCCTGGACAGGTCGGCACTAGCAGGCTCCCCCACTTCGTGCTGTTACCTTGCTTAATCTTTGCTCAATGGAGTCTGGAACACATGCTTTGCTTCTGTGGGGCTGTGAGAGGAAGCCAAGACACCTCTGACCGTGTAAGGTGGCACTTGGGGGGACCCTGCAGCTGTAATTGGAGTGAAGCAGCTTGTGGGACATGACTGCTGCTGGCTCTGCTTGTGTGGGGCTGCCAGGAAGCTGCCCGAGTCTCAGAGGCTTATGCAGAAGCAAAAACCTTCCTTAAGGAGGGTCTTGGCTGCCTGTCACATAGGACATCAGGAGCAACTCAGAGGCAACACACCTTCTGGAAGGGAGAGCGGACAGGTAAGACACTTCCTGGCTCTAGAGTCAATCACTGTTTTGATGTCAGTGATAATTTAAGTGAAGAAACATCAGAGACTCTGATTAGAAATTACACATTAGCCCAGAACAAGCAGAAACGTGCAGCCTCCCATCGCACCCAGCATGGGGCTTCTTTCAACAGTGCCTACCCCAGTGCCTGCAGCCATGGAAATCTGCTCTTCCAGAGTCAGAACTGCCAGTACCTGCCTCACAGAGGGGAACACGAGGCACAAAGCAATCTCTTTCCTACCCCAGCAATTCTGGCCCCACCCGAGACACCAATAACAAGCTTGGATAACAAACCAGGGGAACTGCTGCCCTTACACGTGCACAGCATGTACCCAGTGCTGCTGCAGAATCAAACCTCAGTGCTGGGGATCCAAAATCAAGGGTGGCCACAGAACACAGCCCCCGGAGCTGCCCTGTGACACTGCCTCCCTTCCCCACCTGAGCTATAACCCCAAGGCTCTCTAAGTTCTGGTTGCTCACTGAGAAAAGTGTTCTCAGAGCACAACGGCAACAATACTTCATTTGTTTTCCAACAGAACAGATGTAAGAAGGCTGGTGACAAAAGAGCAGGGATTGGTTGAGGTTTACTTTTGCCAGTATAAATTTAGGAAAAAGAAAAAAGATGCAAAAGGTGCTGAGCTGATTGATACTGCTCACTGCTGCTGCTGCCCTTCTGTGCCAGCTCTCCACCCATGACAGAGCCACACTCTCAAGGCTTTTGAGTTCCCCAGGCACTCCTGATAGTAAGCAAGTCCTTAAGTGCTTCTTCCTTTCTAGAACTAAGGACTGGGCTCAGTTTCTCCATCTGAAGCCTTTGACACCTGCTTGGATACCAGAAGAACCAGGCACAGAGCTTACCCCTGGTTGCACAGGAGAGCTGGACATCTGCTTTCCCAGGAGGGTGCCCCATGGTCTGGCCGCTCAGTGTGTTCAAGAGACAGCCCTCAGCTCCTCACAGGTTACATTAAACTTAACACATCTCCGTTGTTTAGCTGCACTGGTGAAATGCCCCTTTCCATGTGTCCCTAAAGAAACCAAATCCTGAGAAAACAGAGAGGCATTGCTCACACAGGGATTTTGGCACAGAACTGCCATATATGACAGCCCAGAGAGCAGGAATCTTCCACAGATACTCCAGGAGATGGCTGAGAAATACCTGAATCACACATCCTACTCCATATCATCTTCACTCACACAGAACCCAGGGCCTCTGGGAGCTGATGCTGGTTTCAGCCAAGCTCATCATAACACCTGAACTAGGAAGGTGCAACCACACCAGCAGAGCTGAACCTTTAGCTAGTTCTGGGAATGTTTACAGCCAAGAAAATGTTTAATTAATGCAGTCCAGATTAGACTAGGCTCTAGCTGCCTAAAGGTCTGCTTGATCTGCCTTATCCCCATGTTGTAGCTTAGAAGTCAAATAAGATTCTCATCAGGATGGGATCACTCAGCAGCAGAAGCAGAGCTAGGGATGTGCCCTCTTCCTTTTCAAACTGCACCTAAGCAGCTCTTTCTCCCACCACACCTGCTCCTTTTGGAATACAGACCAACCCATGTCAGAAATTGAGGTAGGATAAAAGAGCAGTTTTGTTCTACTCTTTCCACTCAACTTTCAAACCCTGTAACTACAGGAATACCTGTCTACTCAGAAGGGAGACCTGTTTCACTCCTGGATTTTTCCTACCCTCACTTTCTCACCTAATGTCTTGCAATGCTTTTTCTCTCTGTTCTGTTTTACTCCATGTAATTTTTGTTTCCTTTGCTGCTCCTGCTTTTTCTCTCTTCCTTTCCATCTCCAGCCCTGTACCACTTCTCAAAAGAGGCTTCTGTCCTTTAATTTGTCCCTTGCAGCATCCACATCTGGCCCAGGGAGATGGGAAGCCCTGGCCTGGCTATTCACATGAGATACACTCCAGGGACTTGCACAGCACAGTGATTTCCACAGCAGCCGTGCTCCTGCCTCTGTCCCGTTCACTACTCAGGTATTTTAGTAATACTGACAGGGATACAGACAGACTCTCACACAGGTAAGCTCTTGGTTTTCTGATACAAATCCACAATTAAATTAACCTCTGGGAGAGGCATTTGTCTTTTCAGGGGTCTTTAATTACCAAGCTTACCAGTGCATGGTATAAATAATTTTCTTTATTGGCAAGTTGATAAACTATGTGCTCAGCCTATACAAGACACAATGATGCAGAAAGTTCTTGTCTCAGGTAAGAAAGAAACAGGAGGGAAATGGGAGCTAAGGGTAAAGGACAGAGAGACTCATAGTACTTTTCAAGTATTACATTCCATTCTCCAGAAGTTACAGACAGGACTGAGGCTTAAAGAAGGATCTGAGTAAGAGAGCAATAACCTGGAGACAAGACATCTGCAGCTCTCACTATTCCTGATCCCATCTGATTTTTGGGTCACTCTCCGGTCCATGTCTGACCACTGAAAACAAGGATCCCAGCAGCATGTCACTGCAAGGTTTGCTCACACGTCCTCAGAGACCAGTACCTAGCTGGCTGCTGGAGGGTTCTTTGGACCTTTTGCTTTCTGAATGCCAGAAACTACAGAATCCATAATGCTTGGGAATGGACTTTGCTGAGGTAGTTTGTTGGCCCGGCAAGCCTAAGCGCCAAAAGAATTAGCTGCACAACAAAACATCTTGCTCTGTCTCCAGGCTCCTGATTCCTACATACCCGTCAGAAATCTCTTTGCAGTAATCCAGCAAAGTTTAACTTGCCTTGGATCTCCAGAATTCCAAGGGAGGACAACAGGAGGTGAAAAAGGGTCGAAACGACTCTAAAAAGACAGAAGCAACCCTGCCCAAAGGGGCATGTCCACAAGGAAGTGTAATACTGGAATTTTGGTGGTTATCTGAGCAGCTCACTGAGAGAGGCCCTCAGTAAAAGAGTGAATTTTGGTCTAAATATTAATATGTTATTTTAAAACCACATTTCATTAGAAGCATGTATTCATCATTAGTGCTTCAGAATCAAAGAGGGCGGGGTGCAACCCAGCTGAGGAAAAGAGAGAAACATGTGCACTGCAAATTCACAAATGTTTTCTGCTGTATTCACATCAGAAAGAAATTTCAGAGTCTATTTCCTGTACTGTGGGCTGCCACAGCTTGCTGGGACTAAGAGGGAAGTTTCACTCCAGGTTCTCCTGAATGCTGACCATGCTGCTTTTCAGGGCTGTCTCTGCAACAGTTCAGGGAAGATGATTTGAAGCTAAAGGGGTCAGAATTAGGTTTCACATTTCTAGACATTTGGAATACAGATTTGCTTTCTTAAGTCTAGCAAAGATAAAATGCAACATTATTTTTTCTGCCAACAATAAAACCAATAGATCTGCCCATAAAATTATCACCTCTTTAATTTCCAGGTTTTTAATTAATATCCCCACTGACAGAAACCTGCTTGCAACATAGAAAAAAGCCGTGTTTTGCTCATGCAAAACATTAGTTCATCCTACCAACATGGTAACTCCTGGCTAATGATGTCTTGGAAGACTCAGCCATGCTACTCACACTTCCTTCCAATCATCCCTAGAAGTATTGCTTCCTCCATGCTTTGTACTGCATAAACCCACTGCTGGCTCTAAACAAAGACAAGGAAAACATCAATGATGATACTAATTCTTCTTGCCAGGTCACAGGCTCACTTTCCCACTCTCACCACAATACACCTTTCCAGAAGTTTAAGGAACAGACGGAGAAGGGAAAAAGAAACTTCTGCAACGCTTGCTCTATGTCTGAGCAAAGGAGCAGGGTGACTTCTTAAAGCCCTTAGCACTGGGCTGAGAGCCAGGACCACCTTTGATACGATATTCCTTTGTGGTCTCATTTCTTCCCTTATAACAGAGATTTAAAAGCCACTTGTTTCCCACCAATGACAAGAAATGACATAAGAATCAGTTAATATCTTGATGGTGGTTTGGAAAAACAAAAACCACAGCTTCCCAAAGAGCCGAAGTTTCAGTACAAACTCATTCTATCTCAAATATTACATGAGAAAAAAACCCCAAACCAATACAAACTCATTAAAAAAAAAAAAAAAAAAAGCTTGATCTTTAAGCTGTTTAAATTTCTCCCTTAATTGAAACCTCTTACAGCAGCTATGAAAAAAACTATTTTCCTTTGTATTTAGCAAACACCAATTCCCCTTCTACCCTGTTGTTGGTAATTGGGTAGAGACAACCCAAATTCACTGTGTTTACACAGCAGCATCATTGCCAGTGTCAGTGCAGCCCTAGGAATGCTCCTTGCCTATTGGCTAATCCTGTTGCAGAGCCAGGAGAAAAATCATCCCAACAGGATCAGTGAGAGAGAAAGAAAACTACTTAAGCAGCATCAAAAAGTCTAAGATAATTTTTCTGCCAAGTAATGATTAACTAAAGGTATCCTTTTACAGACTGGAACACAAATGCTGTAACAAAAGGGATATAAAATCTGTACTTATCTACTTGGGTTCTGGAGACAAGCAGATGCCTCAGAAAAGCAGTAACAGATGTTTTAACATCTCCTGGCTGATTAACTGTGTGCAAATTTAAACATGGCTACTAGTGAATTTCATTCCCATCCTCTCCTGAATCAGCAAAGAAAACAGAAGGACTATTGAGTCTCCAGGCACACCTCCTACCTCCAGATAGTGCACTGCTTCCAAGAGAGCTCAGGTAACACAGAAATAAGAGCATGAGAACCACAAAGACTCAGCACACCTATCCCTGGAGACGGTCTCTTACCAGGAATGCTCAATGCTTCAGAAGATGCTGTTAAGAATCACCCAAGTGTTCAGCTGAAGACCAACATGTTCCAAAAGGCAGCTTCTCTTGAATATCTGGCTGTTAGCTGATGGCTCATATTCTATAGAAGGGTCATGTTCAGGTTGTTTTTTCTCTTCAACCCTTGAAACAGACAGTCCTTTGTTTAAATGCTGTGAGTTGCTGGCCTAGTGCTGCCCAATGGTAACTGGATTGATGGAAGGACATTTTTACTATGATCCATTTTGACAGTGTCTGCCCAGCTGTCTCCCTGCCACTTCTGCTAACTTATCCTTCCAGCTCTGCTAGTTCCAGAACAGAACTCACACATCAAAAGACAGAGTCAGGGTTATCACTGGTTCAGCTCAGAAGTGCGTGTAAGAGTCACTTTCTCAGTCACAACTCAGACAAATGTGAGAACTCAGGATATCAGTTCTGAGCCCAGAGCTGAAAATAGTGCACACTCCTACAGAAGGAATAGAAGTCCTTAAAGGGCAGAAGGGCAACCTAAAGGAGAGGGAATAAAACAGCTCAAAGAACCCCACAGAAGCCCACTTGCCTGGGGCAGCAAAGAAACTCTCTCAGGCTATGTGTTGCCTGGAGTATTCACTTGCTCAGAAATGCATCCTTGAAATGCAAAGCTTTTCTATCTTCCACTATGGAACAGCTGAGCAGGTCTGCCTCGCCACCCAACACAGGCTCTCAAGGCCACCACACTGGGGACACTGCCTCACCTTGTGTGTGCAGTGGCTCACTCTGCTCCCACGGGAAGTAAGGAAGTAAAGGGAGTTTTCCTGGTACTTCCAGTGGAAATGGGCTTTGCCCAAACATGTATATGCAGTAGTGAAACCAGACAGCTCTGGGACACAGCCCAATGTGACCAGAATCAGCACCTAAACTGAGCCAGACCCCACCATCAGGAAGCACAAGGCACGCTCTGCTGTCCAGAGTGAAAAGATTATACATTAGAGATGAACTTCTTGAACAAGAGGAGATAACAGAGGGTGATTTCAGTCCAACTCACTGTCTCTCTTCTCAAGCTCCAATCAGTCTGTATCACAGAACTAGTAAAGCCTTACAAAAGCACACTGCCAACTGCTTTTCTCTGGGTTACAAACACATGGAAGAATGGGAGAGAGATGGTAACAGCAGAGACAAGCCTGGGAGATCCTCCAGGTGGGGTGAGATCCAGCACTGTAGGATTTGATTCTCTATAGACTTTAGCCAGTAGATGTATGGTAGGACCTATGGAAACTGTCCCATTAGATTTTAGAACACAAACACAGCAGAATGTCATCATAAATAAGCAAAGTCTGTGTTAAAAAATTCTAAGTACACAGCATTTTCTCCAGTTCTGACACCTTTTTAATAGAAATCACTTGTTTAGGAAACAAATAGCACTTTTGTAATTTTTTTTACAATGTTTCTTACCTTGATCTTATTTTAAGTAACACTAGGAAGACCTCAATATCTTTTATTTTCCTTTTTAATTTAAAAAAGTTGGTTTTTTTCCCCCAGATACAAAGATTTTGCCCTTGCATAAAAAAACAGTGCCCAAAACGATGACACAAGGACTCACAAAGACTCACTGTATCTCACTGACACTATTACTTCTAATCTATACCATGCAAGGTCCCATCTACCTCTTTAATTAGACTGTCAGCCTGAAAAACAGCTTTTCTATTCCTTATTTAGTTCTTGTTACCAAAAGAAGAGAAAGGAAGTGAAAGAAAAGGACATTTCTCCGTTGAGTTCACACATCTGGGTTATGTGCTACTTTGTTCAGGATACCTGTGTTGTTTATAAATACAGAAAAGGGATGGAATCTCATTTTCAAGTAATTGATGCACATTTTCTCTTGGGACACCTCCATCCAATGCTCCAAGCTGACCCTGGCTTCTGGCCCTCTCTTTTCCCATTCCCAAAACAGACTTTCTGGATGAGTGTGAGGACCCATAGGCTCTCAGGCACATGGTGTGATTCTTGGGGTGTCCTGTAGGGCCAGGAGTTGGACTCGGTGATCCTGATGGGTCCCTTCAAACTCAGCATATCCTATGATTCTATGTGCTGGTTACTCAGTGAAAAGTCCATCTCCTTTCCTTTTGTACATCTCCTGTCTAAACAATAGTAAATACTGCTTATTTGATAGACTTGTCCCTTCTGGGCACTGGGATTTGATAATTTATATTTCTGGTTTTTTGGTTTAATAGTACTGAGAGTTTAGAAACAGGAAAAGCCCATAGGCTCTTTGGACTTGTTTTTGTTTTCCCCTAGCTAAACAAACTGTTCTGCAAATAGGAACTTGAAACCTGCTCTCCTCCCTTATCCCTGCTCCTCACCCCAAACAAAAATAAAACAAACCTATAGTGGCTGTGGAGGCTGCTGCAGGCACACACTGGTGTAAAATATAGAGAGAGTAAATATATTATTTCACTTGGCATGGTGCTGGCAAAGAACCCCCAGCTGGCACTATTCATGTAACATGATCCAAACTTCGCATGTACACACAGAATAAGAAGGATCAATTGGCAAACTCCGGTGCCGCCTGGCACAAGCATCTTCACGCTCTCTCTGGAACCAAAGAACTAAAGAATTCTGCACTTTCCAGAAGAAATCCAGTTTTGCTTTTCTAGAGTTTCTTTATTTTGCTCTTTCTCCTCGCCGCCACCTCCCTTGGCTCCTTCTTAACTTCACTGTGTTATTTAGTCTCATCGCCCTTGTTACAGTTCACCATGCAGCTCTGGGAAGGGGAGGGGGCTAAGGTGGAGGTGGCAGCATTAGTATTGTTAGTGGAGTCCATGCCGTTGGAGATGGCTACTGAATTGACCTCAGAGTTTATGGGTTTTGAAAGGTCGATGCCTTGGATGAGGCGGATCAGCTGTTTTACCTTCTCCAAGGAGCTGTGCATCTCCTTCTGTTTTGCAAGGATGGTGTTCTTCATTTCCATGCATTTCTACAGCAAAGCAGAAAATCAGTAATAAGTTCGAGCTTATGAATGAAAGAAGGCAAGAGAAGGAATATGATGTTCACAGATCTAAATGTAAGTACCCAGAAAAGACTGCAGCTGCAACTTCACTTTTCCAGCCTGGAAGAAAAGAGACTCTAGGCTGTGTTCAGAGGAGAATTCATATTTGCAGGCTGAGGAAATAAATTGCCAAGACATATCTGTCACCTGGTATGGCTCTCTTTCATTCCAAGGTGTTGTGCAAATGAACACAGACAGCTCCATCCTTTTGTGTTTCTTTTGAAGGAAAACTTCCAAGTGTATGTTCTTACAATTCTTTCTATTAGTATTGCATTACTGAAATTTCTTTAACTCAGATCTGCAAGCTCAGGCATCCCACTGCAGCTGACTGCTGACAGTGTGTGTGCAAACCATTAATGGGATACAGCCTTTGCTTTCAAATACATTTTAGCAGGAACATCACTTCCTTCTCTCAATAAGTAAAAGGGCACTTGAAAAGGAAACCAAACTCCCCTTCACTTGAAAATCTTATTTTGTGGCCACTTCATTCTCTTAGAAGTGGTAGTAACACAGCTAGCTCATCAACTAAGTGCCAGGGCAAGGTAACTTTAAAAAAAGCCCACAAATGATGTTTCAAGAGTGAAAAACTGCTCATATGTCTATTTGAAACTCACAAAAATGAGGAAACTACATAGCTAGTAGCTATGTCTGTTACATTCAGGTTTTTACATGAAGATGGCAACCTTCCTACATTTTTTAAATATTTTATCCATGCTGATTTCCAGACACTGTTGGTTTTAGCTTTACTGTTTTCACATGCAGCTCAGGGCATCATAATAACCCTAAAGCATCTAGACCTAATATGCCTGTTTTGGACAGGTCTAATGTAAGTATGAACCTTCTCCTTGCCCACTGCCAATCCCTCATGTTAAGGCCTTGCATCTGCCTGGGTACATCACTGAGAAACAGTGATAGTTGTCTAGTGCTGCTCAGGTTACACTCAGCTATTGCTAACCAGAAGGTGACAGTCGCCAGGACTGCTAGCCAGCCCCTCACAATCATGTTATTTGTATTGACAGCACTGAGGGATCTGTAAAAGCAGGACACTTTTGCTGTAATAGGCAAAGACAGGCAGCCTGGAAAGTGCATCT